AAAAATGCATGATAAATCCATTTATACAGGAATGAAAGGATAACAATATTTGAAATATCATTAACATGATATTCCACATTAATGTATCTATGGAAAACATCAGTCATCATTTCCATCAATTCTGAAAAGAACTTGAGCAAAATTCAATATCATTTTTGATTAAGAGAGAGACAGAGACAGATGAGGGAGGGAGGGAGACAGAGAGAACAAATACGACAAAGTTTATTGTTGAATCCAAATGGAGCATTTCTGAATTTTCTGTTTCTTTTTTGTTTTCTTTCTGCTTGTAAATTTTGAAAAATTTCACAAAATTTGGAGAAAAATTTATACATAAACTTTTGTTTTTAAATATTTACCTCTTTGTTCACGTGTTGCATGAGGTTTAATCAGTGCTAAAGTGCTTTGAAGAGGAAAGAAATGCTCTATTTCCCTCTCAGCAGTTTCTAATGAATCACTTCCATACAACTGGTTGACAGGCAAACTTCCCATTGCAAACTGTGCACATAAACTTTGAAAAGGAAGTCAAGTTCAAAAGTTTTATTTTACGACATAACATAACAAACATAACATAACAGTATACGAGTTGTTCAAAAGTTATCAAACAGCAACTAATTCCACATTTAGGCACTGTGCAAAAGGAAGTAACCACGGAGTGGCTTAGGGCACGCTACTTCCTTTCAAGGAGGTAAAAGGCATTAGGAAAAAGGGACGAGATAAAATCATGATGACAAGGGATATTGACAGATAACTATGAAAGAGGAATGAATGCCCTGCGCAGTGAAAAAGTTCAGATGTAGAACCCCGGTGGTATACTTTCTCGCTGTGTGATATCAGAGTTACTTAACTTCTCTATGCTCTAGTTGTCTCAAATATAAATATGACAATAAAACCTGTTTTAGAAGGTGATATTGAGGATGCAATCGGATGATGTATTTGAAATACATGGTAAAAATTGAGCTCTGAATAATATTTCTTTCCCTGCTACCACCATTAAATATTATCAAGCATTATGTGGCATTTGACTCTAAACCAAAGATACCAAATTATAAACACTGAATCCAGGAGATACTGCAAAGGGACCCTCCAGGTGAGCAAGTGCAGCAATAAAAGAGGAGCACACAGGACGGCTTTGAGGTAGGAGTGATGCTGATGATACCGAATGATCCGCGTCGGGTTAGACAGTTTATTATGCTTCAGCTTCTTTTCCTATAGATGAGTATGTACCTCCTAAATCAACTGCGGTTCTTTGGTATTTTTTCAGTTCTCCTTTTCTTTCTGTCTCTCTACCTATGCATATTTCAGTAGAGAAGATGCTCACTGCCCATTTCATTTTTTGCCCAATAAACACAGTCCTAGGCAGTCAACCCAACAAAATCCATCGATGGTGAATAATGTTCCCTTCTGCTGATAGTGATGTGCATTCACATCACTAGAAACTTGACTTTCTGTCCTCAGCTCCGAGATCCTCTTCTTGCCTCTGTGGTTTCGGTGACCCATTCAGATTTCTTTTTGGCCTTATCAGACATGATCTTCTCATTTGGCCCTTGGCTGTTCCCACACCACTCAATTTGGGTATACTTCCAACCCTAGTCCCTGGAGCCTGTGATTTCCAGAGGTGAGGGATTTGCACAATGAATGAGTGAAACGGCCTAAGGCATCCTGAGCACCTACTCTGTTCAGGCGGAGCACTCACCCAGCCACTCTGTTACTCTGTTAAACATTTTTAATGGAAAAAGTGGAGGGAGGAAGGCTGGGCAATAGGGGTGAGAACGAGGGGCTGCTTGTGCAAGTGATATGCAAATGATCATATTTCAGATAAATCAATTCAGAGCACAGAATCTGAAACCAAATGCAGGAAAGAGTCAGATCTCTGTCGATGGAGTTACTTCTAAAGCAGCCTTTAAAAGCCAGGTGGAGCCAAAGAAACTGGAAAAGTGGGGGCCAATCAAAAGTAACAGTCAAGATTATTTGCGAATGTGTGGGAATTTTCACTATGACAGTGGAGTAGAGAGGGTGCAGTCACTGAGCGCCTCCACCTGGAGAAAATGTCTTTGGACTGGTACAGCCTCCACACTCGGAGCCAGTGTCTAGACCATGATGCCCATAGGGATAGGCCTTGTGCTGATAGTAATTCCACTCTCTGGTGCCATGCACTGCTGCATTCTATTGAGAGCTTCCATCAACGCCACTTACAGAACACTCTATCCTTGTTATCCTCACAGTAATTGTCTGGCACATGAGTAAAGGCATAAATGAGTAGGGCTAAAAAGGAGGTAACCTGTGTCCATGCAGGACAAGTCAGATTCAGGTATACCCTTACCCAAAAGAAAGCACTTCAACATTTATGTAAGTGAGGCTTCATAAGTACTGTTATTTATTGTGCCGACACGTATGTCATGTTTTCAGTGCCTTACAGAGCATCTCTATTTTTGCACACTTAAAGGGAGGGTCTTTCTTCCCCTGAATTGACTCCTACCCTGAAATCAGCACCAAGAATACAAGGGAATTGAAATTCAGTTTGTTTCTGTCAGCTACATGCCAAGTATGGAGATCTATGAGATAATTATTCCCATCCTTCAGATGATACCAAGGCAAGCAGATAAGCTCAAAAAAATATTGAAAGAAATCCCCGCATGTGCCAGGTAATGGGATAGGTGTTGAGTTAATTACAAAGTTTAGCTGATTTCTAAGATTCATAAATGCTAACTCAGTAAATGTTCCCACCAAATTGTAGAGTACATATTCATTTAGTCATCATTGTCTTGAAACTTATAATCAACTAAAGAACCTGTGGCTACCAATACAACCTTTCTCAAAGGGATTACTTCCAAATAGCAGGTGGGACACGTATTTCTCCCAAGAGATGACCTGTTGGCTGGGTATCCACCTCTTAGTTCCCAGCCCCAAACCAAGCATCCCACAACCTTTTTATTGTGAAACCTTGGCCGTCTTCAGGCTGGCACTGGGTGACCCCCAGTCATAAGCAGTCCACTGCTTCCCCAGGAAAGACAGTTTTCCCGAGATGCTCCCTTAGACTAGAGCTGTGGTTCCTGAACTCCACGTCTAAAAGGAAATTAAAATGGATCCCATGAAAAAAGTT